GGGCAGACAAAGGCCGTGACGGCTGCCGCGCCCGGCTCTCCGCGCCGCCGAGTCGTTCCGGCGAGGGGCCGCCGAGTGCATGACTCAGTGCTTTTTTGGAGCAGGCCCTGCCGGGCTTCCCGGAGCGCGGCCTGCGCTGCGAGGGGGATGGGGGGCCGCCGGGCCCCGAACTCGGTCGAAATCGCTGGGAGCCGGCCCCACGGCTCTCCCGGAGGGTTTTTTTTGTTGTTTTTTTTTTTTTTAGTTTTTCCAATGTGGTTAAGCATTCTCCCCCAAGATCCTTTTCATGGAGGCAGATCGAGCGCCTCTCCCTTTGTCTACGGGAACTTTGGTGAACGTTAACATTTTGCTCGCTTTTCCATGTACTCCATGGAGCTGTATTTTGAGGGAGGTATTAGAAGTTATATGTTGATGGAAGCTAAGAATATTACCTGGATATTTTAGGAGGAAGTAATATATGGGTCAGAACCTCGTTTCTTAAGCTTGGTATTCAGTAACCAAGAGAAATAGTACGATAAAAATGAATTTTCTCATTTTCATGATTTCTTTAAAAGTGAGATTCATAATCTCAATTGATGAAACTATTATTGACTTTTACCTTTCAAGTTTGTTCTTAAAGTGTCCCGCCCAAAATGAGGGATTTGTTTTAGTTGTACCTTTTTATTTTTGTGCCTAGGACTGGTATTAATCTGGAAAGGGAGCTTTTAAAAAACTGGCTGAGGTGACCGAGACCTGGAGACTAAGGACTTGCCCAAGGTCAGGCTTAGTGGCACATTAGAGCCTAGAATTCGGGTCTGAGCTCCAGGTTAGTGAGTGGTCTTGCCGTTTTTAACCAGGTGCCCCTGAAATAGCAATCCCATAGTTTAAAAGAAAAGCTCATTCATTTCAGTTTTTGAAGTGGAAAATAAATGTCGTTAGTCCAGCAAGGTTCGTTTTAAGTTACGAGCTAAGAAAAGCCGTGAACTTTACTTTAAAAAAACAAAACAAAACAAAAACCATCGCAGCTATGCCTGGAAGGGCTGGCTTATGGATGAATACTAAGTTTCTAACAACTTTTTTTTCCCAGAATATAAGGGAAATACAGGATATGTAAACTAACAAACACCCTATAGTTTTCATTAAATGTAAGCGTTATTTATGCTAGCGTGCATTTACCACTGTGCTGCTCACGCCCCTCTTGCCCCCTTTTCAATAACCATATTTTATTTTGCTATTAATTCTGCTTGGGTATTGTGGATTGAAGGTGAGATTGTTCTTTGATCCTGCATTAGAAAAACCTGGAGGCCTTAATTGCATTTTGTTTTGTTATGTGAGATATATGAGTGCTGCATCGTTAGTTCTTGGGGTTGTGTAGGAGTTGGCAGGCTCTGAGATATAAATAGAAGCTGATTTCAGAGGCCCCTGTTGACTAGGCTTTATGTGAGAGCCTCCATCCAGCTCAGCTTGTCACATTGCAGCCTTGTGACAGGCTGAAGCGCCCTCCCATGTGATCTAAGCTTTGGAGAAATATTAAAGCAAGCTGTGCACATGTGATGGCATTTAAAATCTGACTTAGTAGGGGAGGGGGAGCCTTATAGAAGACTGATGGTTCTTGTTCTTTCTGTGTACTTACGTTTAAGAATTTGAGTTGTATTTTCTGAAGAAGGTGGAATCCTTGTCTAAGTGGGGAATTCATTAGGTGGGATCTTCTCATTCATGTAAGGAAAGTGCTTTCTTAGTAACTAAAAACAGTTGATTTGATCGGTTGGTCTTAAGATTCCCTCAGTATACTTTTAAAGAATGTCAGGTGTTGCTGGAAGTTAGTTAGCCTAGTAAATGAGACTAGCATAGTTCTTAAGTGGGCTGAAAAAGGCCCAGCTTTTTGCATAGGATAAAGAAAGGTCAGCACACTGTATGGAGAAAATGAAGATACATAATTTGTTATTTCTTTTGTGTGTGTGTGTTACACTCAACATTTAAAAACCTCAACTAAAAGTGTTTATTAAACTGCATAAGTAATCTTGACATATTTACGCTGCCCTGCTCTGAAATGAGTCAGCTAAATTCCACTCACTATTTAAAGAGACAGTGTTCACTAAATTACTACTATTCTAAACTGTGGCTTTTAAACACTATATACAAGTTTGATTTGCTCGAATAAAGTTTTCTTGTGCTAACAAAAGCAAAGATTGCTGTCATTTAACTGCTCAAGACTGGGTACTCATGATCAGGATTCTGTCCTGGTCACATTGATTAGTCCCCTTCATCTTTGCAATTTTGGTAAAGAGTTAATAGGGTGTATCTTACTGTGTAGTAGCTGAAAAAATGAGTGACCATAATTTCATTTTAACCAAATGCACTCAAATAGTGCTTTTTACATAATTCTTTCAAAAGTAATATTTTCTAACGTATGTTTTCTCTTACACAGTGGGAAATGTAAATTTAACTCATTTTTATGCCAATTTAAACAACTTTTGAAAGGCTCAGGTATGCTTGCTATGTAAAGTTCCTTCTGGTAGCCTAACACTAGATATTAACCATGACCAAAGAGTGCTTTTATATTGCTTACATCATCAAATTTGGGATTGGAAAGATTTTTATTTTTTTAATTTATTTTTATTTTATGTGCATTGGTGTTTTTGCCTGTGTGTATGTCTGTGTGAAGGTGTCCGAAGCCCTGGAACTAGAGTTACAGATAGGTGTGAGCTGCCATGTGGGTGCTGGGAATTGAACCTGGGTCCTCTGGAAGAACAGTGCTCTTAACCACTGAGCCAACTCTCCAGCCCCAAGATTTTTATTTTTGACAGGAGAAAAAGAAATACTTGTTAGAGTTAATAGAGACTGAAAAATTGGCTGATATAGTTTCTGCTTTGCACATTGCTAGGCACTGAGGCTACATACAGGTGCCTGTCTCAGTGGAAGTATTACTGATGGTGCCCAAGTGTGTCTTTAAGACAGGTTCAGTGTGTGACTTTAAGAAAGCTGTAGGTGGGCTGTAGAGATAGGTCAACCTTTTAAAAGTGCTTGATGCTCTCATAAGAGGACCTGGGTTCAATTGCCAGCACCCACATAGTGGCTTACACTATGTGGTCTGTTAACTCCAGTTGCAGGGAGTTGAGTGAGTAGGCACCAGGGATATATGTGCACATACAAACAAACACTTACACACATAAAATAATCTTATTTAAAAGCTGTAGGGCTAAATCCAGGATTCAGCCAACTTGAACTAATAAATGTCAAGAGATGGTGATTAGTTGGATTATTGTGGGATGGTTTTTTTTTCCTCCCTGTTTTTGCATTTACTCTATTGAACTAAACATCATTTGAAATGGTTGACTTATAGTACAAGAGCAGAAAGTAAAAGTGGGAATTGTCAAAATTGATTCAAATAATACTTGATAAATTGGCAACCTGACATCTTCAGAAACTGAAATTCAATAGTAACAGATGAAATCGTATACACTTTATTGAATGGTGTAGTTTCTTTTTGGTCCTAGAACAGTTCTTTCACATTCTTTGTTTTTTTAAAGTCATTAAGATATACTCATTTATGTCTAACTAGCACAATCTTAGTTTTTGTTAGTAACAGATTTTGGTGTTTAGAAATAACAAAGGTATAGTGGTGATTGTATTGTATTCAGTTTGTTTTTGTGACATGCTAATTTCTAAAATTCTGTTTTGTTTATAGCAGAAAAATATGGCTCAGGAAACTAACCAGACCCCAGGGCCCATGCTATGTAGTACAGGATGTGGCTTTTATGGGAATCCTAGGACAAATGGAATGTGTTCTGTTTGCTACAAAGAACATCTTCAGAGACAACAGAATAGTGGCAGAATGAGCCCAATGGGTAAGTTGTTTCCAAGGAAAAAAAAAAACTTGAACTGGTGGAGAGAAAAACCTAAGAATCAAGAGAATATCGAAAACTTGAGAATGCCTGACAAGAGCTTGACATTAAGACAACAGCCCAAGTGCTTGCCGTGACTACCTCAGGAACAAATGACTATTCTGCACACGTCTTGTAATATTTTCAGTTTTCCTTTTTGAAGTTTTCATACATGTCTTTGGGTTATGACCTTTTTTTTTTTTTGTCTGAATGTCAAGTGTAGGATTGCAGTGCAGTGAAGGTGCTTAGATCACTAAATTAAATGCAAGTATTGATACTTACTAAGTCTTTATTTACTAAGTACTAAGTGCTGATTTGTTTCTGACAGATCCCTTTTTTTTAAATAGGGACAGCTAGTGGTTCCAACAGTCCTACCTCAGATTCTGCATCTGTACAGAGAGCAGATGCTAGTTTAAACAACTGTGAAGGTGCTGCTGGCAGCACATCTGACAAATCAAGGTAAGAGTGAACATTTCCAAGTCTCTAACAGGAAAGTCAAGATGTCTGTACTATACGTTTAATAATCAAGGTGGTTGTATCAGGTGGCCTTGGCTTTGCCTACGTGTGCACTGAAGGATTCCATTAATAGCTGGCTCTTGGATCATTGAATAAAGGTGTATATCACAACATACTTCATAAACCCCGCAAGGCCACTGTTAAAAATGTTGTTTTTATTTCTTTGTAATTGAGGATTAGGGATTGTAAAGATAAGACTCTTGACTGTATTACAGTGCCTCACAAGGTGTTTCAACACAACTGCTCCTTTTGCCCTTAAATTATAGGCACAGTTAAAACTCTAGATCTTACAATGTGATACTATATAAATATGCAGCCATGAGTTGATGAGCCATTTATCAAGTTACTTTCTTTATTTTTACTCATTTATGTTGGACATCAAATATCTTTTCCAAATTTTTAAATTAATCTGGTGCCATTTGATCATGTTGGAAATAACACATAATTTAAACTTGAATTGACAACTTATCTCAAAAAATAATACCCTTAACATCTTTAAAAATAATTGTTTGCTTGAACTCAAATAGAAATGTGCCTGTGGCTGCCTTGCCTGTAACTCAACAAATGACAGAAATGAGCATTTCAAGAGAGGACAAAATAACTACCCCGAAAACAGAGGTGTCAGAGCCAGGTATGCTTTTTAAGTTTAATACAAGTTCAGTTCTGAATTTCGAAGTATGAGAAAGAATTGAGTTGGTGATGGGATTCTCTCCTTTCATTGAAAAACCAAAGAGGGAGAGCTATAAATTAGAGGTCGAGCAAATAAGCAGTATCAAAGAATATAAACTATTAGTGTTTTTACCCTCTTCTGCTCATTCCCTCATTACCCTCACTCCTAAAAGCAATCAAGTAGTCTGGAAACTATTTATGTGGTAAGAACTTAATGACTTTCAATGGCATGGCCATGGGGAGTTTTATAATAACTATTTAGTCTCAACTCTGTCAGTGTTGAAGGAAACAGTAAAGCAAAAGAACATACTAATGCTGAGAGTTGTAAACATGTGGGATCCCTAGTACATGTGTTGTGAGACTTGTATGGAAGGGCTTTTGTTTTCAATGGGTAGTGGCTTTGGAGCTATTTTTATAACACAACCAGAAGTTCCCTAATCTTCCAAGAAGACTGACTTATGTTAGTGTTATCTATGTGCACGTGATTTACTCAAATCTGTTCGGTTTTGTAGACGGGAGACAGTGAAGTGTAAAATGATTGTAGGGGGGGAAATGGCAGGGGATTGCAATCTGTCTTGAAGACTTTTGCTAGTATGCCTTTTTGTTTTGTTTTGTTGTTTTGTTTTCCCCCTGTATTGTATTAGTCCCAAAAAGTCAGATTATTTGGTCATGAAATGGCAGGCAAGTCTGTATTTGTAGTAAGTCCAGCTTTGAAAAAACTGACCAAACATGTTTATGTTTTCCACACACAAGCTACTTGGAAGTAGATCTGTAGCTAATAACCACATTTGTTACTTGATAGAAATCTGATTCACTGCTATTTGTTTTTTCTTTACTTTTCTATCCTCCCTTTCCCTTGTATGTCTGAGGAGCTGATTGTTAACATTTTAAGTGTAGACAAAAAAAAAAAAAGCTAACATTCACATTCCCAACTACGTATTCTCATACCACAGGAAAAATTATATTAAGGCTGTCATCGTAGCTTAGGAAAAAATAGGTAGAATATTTTCTGTTGGTCTGCTACTAGGCTGTTGATACCACTGTGTATATTTGCTAGTGTGAATTGAGAGATCAGTTTACATTAAAGCGATCTGCTTTTCCTAGAAACTTGGTTATACTAAGCATTGGAATTAGCATGTTGTATTAGCAAATTATTTTGGTATTTTGTTTTGAAGAACTAGTAGGGGTTGGGGCTTTAATACAGCAGTCTGCAATTTTTCATTCATTGTGACAGATCTTGTTGCTAGAAATTAACAAAAAGATTAAGAAAGGGTGGGGCCTCTTGATATGTCATTTAGTCAGAAGTAATAGTGAAAATGAGTTGTGCCATTAAAAAAAAAGAACCTGGTTAGAAGCCAGTTTGGTGTATTCCTGTAATCCCACCACCAGTGCATTAGGCAGAACGATGGCCTCAAGTTCACGGAAAGCCTGGGCTACGGTGTAAGACCATGTCAAAACAACAACAAAAAAATCCTGGTCTAGTCTAAAATTAATATTTCAGAAACCTATGCAGTATGCTTGATAATCTTTGTTTAGATTTTTAGAAAGCAGCTGCTTGTTTTGTTTGAAAGAATTTCTTAACCGTTTATTTACCAGAAGTGTATACTAGTATAGTAATTGGCAGGAAATAGTCAAACTTAAGAAAAGCTGCTTAAACATACATTCCAAATCTTAGCTGTTTCTCTTAAGTACTATTCTTTTAAACTTAAACATAATTGTCAGCTAGTGATTTCCACACAGATTTCTAATCTATAACTTTGTCTTTCAGTTGTCACTCAGCCCAGTCCATCAGTTTCTCAACCCAGTACTTCTCAAAGTGAAGAAAAAGCTCCTGAGTTGCCCAAACCAAAGAAGAACAGATGTTTTATGTGTAGAAAGAAAGTTGGCCTTACAGGTATTAACACATAAAATAATTCACATCTTAAAAGAGTCACTCCAAAAGAAATTATTGGTTTTACACAGTACTAAAAAAGAAAGAGAAGGGGTCCTAACATTTCCAGAAAGGAAGGGCTAGTGGGCTGAGAGGTTGGATTTAATTTCCATCCAGTTGTAATGTTGGCCTAGTCATGTAATCATTATCATTAACCTTGGGCCTTGTGAATTGTTTTTATTTATCTGATAAATAAAGAAACGTCTGTCCCTTTTGATTTTTGATTCCTTCCTTTGTTGCTTACAGAAAAAAGGGTAGCTGAACTAACAGCAATGAACACCTACGTGGAGCCAGGCATGAAATGGTCTAGGTGTTTTTTACAGCAGAATTTTATAGTTGGTTGTATATGTAGTTTTCATGTAAAATACTCAGCTCAGGGGTGGTTTGGTAAGGCTGTGTTCTGAATTCAAGTCATCTTAATTCTAGAGCTTGCATGAATTCTACCCCATTGTCAGGATTGACATGGTCTTTCATAATCAAAGCAGTGAAAATCCATTCCTTTTCTCTAGTGACTAGAGTGCTTGTTTTCCTAATTGCTACAAGTTGCCAAGTGATTGCTCTTGTTTGTGCAGGGTTTGACTGCCGATGTGGAAATTTGTTTTGTGGACTTCACCGTTACTCTGACAAGCACAACTGTCCATATGATTACAAAGCAGAAGCTGCAGCAAAAATCAGAAAAGAGAATCCAGTTGTTGTGGCTGAAAAAATCCAGAGAATATAAAATTACTACATGTGAAGAGACTGAAACTTTGTTTTTATTTTAATATATCGTAGGAAAACATTAAAGAGCAGATGCATGGCCATTTTCCTTTGATGTTCTCCAGAGTTTTGCTTTATACTTGTCTGTCTTATAATTGATATTTTAGGATGTTTGGGTGTTTGTTACAGGCAGAATTGGATAGATACAGCCCTACAAATGTATATGCCCTCCCCTCAGTAAAATTGGACAAAATCTGCACAACAAATTGAAATACACAGATAATAGGAACAAAATTTAGTTCCGTGTGCCAAATTAAATGAATGAAATCTCTGCATGTTTGCAGCATATCTGCCTTTTGGGAATGTAATCAAGGTATAATCTTTGGCTAGTGTTATGTGCCTGTACTTTAAAAAAAAAAAAATGGTACACCAGAAAAGGACTGGCAGTCTACTACCATAGTCAAACTTCACCTTAATTTCGACATGACTTTTGGAAGCAGGAAGAAAGCTACAAAACCAGTATTTTGGTGCCATGTATAAGCCTGGTTAAATTGGTCTTCTAAAAGCTGTCAATTAGGACATTCTGCGAAAGGTAACGTCAACAACTGGTTATAAGTAAAACCATCAAGTCAACAACAGGGTGCCTGAGATAATCTTTGAAGCTTTTTGTGCTGGCCTGCACCGGAAGATAAATCTGCATTCTCATTACTAAAATTGTAGCACAGAACTGCACTAGGATTTGTTTACAAGAAGAAATTAAACTCTACGTTTGGTTTTCACATACAGCAGCTCTGTTAAATAACATGCATCTGAATTTTAAGTTGCAAAGGTATCTGAACAGTTAATTTTTCATGTGCATCTTTTGTTGAATGTTTTGGTTCAAGAAAGAATGTTTAAAGCTTTTTAAAGACTTCAGTTCTTAATGTAACTGTACCCTTCTGCATGGAAAATCATAACCAACATGGCTGCAGTAGACTTCTTTAGTGGTATCCAGCACCACTTGCAGAGGGCTGCTTTATCATATTGTATTTGGGTGTAGGACTCTAGTGTTCTTGGGTGTATTGCATGGGCTGCATTATCTACAGCATTGTACAATAACAACTAGAAAAGGCAGTATACTTCACTGATGCTTGTCTGGTAATATCACTTCTGTGTTATAATGGAAGGTTTTTTTGTGATGTATGAAACTTGTGTTTTTTATATATAAATGAGTATAGTTAGATTAGTGTTGTGGTAATGCCTGTTTTCATCTGTAAATAGTTAAGTATGTACACAAGGCACTACTTCTGATTTATTGCAGTGTTCAGTCCTAGTTTTTCTTTATTAAAACATTCAGTTTTGCTTCAATTTTATGTACTTCAGTTCTGAGTTAGATTTGCAGATGTGTACAGATAGTTCATATTTATGTATTGCACATAATCATGCTATTCAGCATTGATGCTATATTGTATTATGTAAATAATAAAAGCAGTGTACAGAGGGAAACTTCTGGTTCATTGGGTTTCTAAGCCTTAGACCCCCAAACAGGGAAAATAGATATTCAATTGTCTCTTGCAAATTTATTTTTCATGATCATTCTTGAACTCCATCATGTGAGTACCATGAGCTGGTCATGAAACTTCCTCAGGTGTGGCACTGTTAGGCAAATTTTGAAGAGCTCAGGTGAAATGGCCCTAAAATTTGAGGAAGGAATGAAATTTAAATAATTCCATATATGTATATATTCTGTGTTTCTTCTGGTAGCATAAGACTGCTGAATGGTAAATAGATATGACTTACCTTTTTTTTTTTTTTAACAGAAACCAGTTGCTTTATTTGTGTGGGTTTGGCTCTAATGTAGAGAGGAAAGCAAGCACCTTAGACTGAGTCTATGCAGTTGTTACGCTTAAATAATAAGGAATAGCAGCAAATGCTCCAGGCCAGCTGAAATCAAGAATAAAGCCTTTGCTTTTCAGGGATGACTTCAGAGTGGAAATAGCCTGGTTCACTTCCATCCCTTCTTGGATGAATGCTGCTGTTACATCAAGTTGAAATGCTTTGCAGGAGTCCATGTGTTGAGCAGTATTATCCCCTCAGTCTGTAGGGTATTGGTTGAGTTAAAAGCATTTTAAAAGGGAAACTTGTTCATTTTAAAATTACTTTGTCTCCTTACAAATGTCAACAAAAGTCTGATGCTTTATCTTTTTTTCTAGAACTGAACCAAAGGCTGCATGCATGTTAATGCAAGTACTTCTGACCTAAAAGTTAGATGCTCAGATGGTGAACCCTTGTGCATACCTCCCCCCCCATCAATGTGTGGAGTCTTTGGTAGTAAAACATTGCAAAAATCAGTGATTCCATTATCACATTTTGGGGGTAGGGAGGAATGTTAGGGTCTCAACCCTAGCTCTGGTCTGGGACTCATTGTGCAGCCCAGGTTAATCTGTTACTTGTAATCCTGCCTTGTCTTGCAGGTGCTTGGGTTAAAGGAATGTGAGCTCTTGGCTACATGCACACACATCTCTCTATATAAGTCATATACCCATGTGTCCATATTGTCTGTATAACCTATATATGTGTGTTATAGATCCAAATCTTATGGTCCCTGTCTATATATATGGGGGGACCTTAAGATTTGGATTTAGATATTTTAAGAACAGCTAGGGAGAATAGTTTCAGTGTGTAAGGCACCTAGGAAGATTCTTCCTGGGTTCTTCCTAGACTCTTGAATTCAGTGTGTCTCATTCTAGACTAATTTAACTGCTATGTACATTGTAATTAAGTACTATGTTAGTCCTGTAAATAGGCAAATCTTTACATGTAATCTAGTGGGCCTTTTCTAAAGCTAGGGCTTCTAACCCAGTGGATGGTTACAAAGGAAAGATAGGTTGTGTGTGTGTCTGTGTCTGTGTGTGTGTGTGTGTGTGTGTGTGTGTGTGTGTGTGTGTGTGAAGGATTTAGTATTGGGCTATCATTGCTGTAAGGCCATACTTACCTGCTTCGTTTTTTAGAATATCACGTGTAATTCAGGAATGTCAGTAAAGCACTTAAAACAGTAAGGAATTTAAAATTAAATAGCATACTTGCTATTTAACTTTTCAGAATGACATTTAGAACTTGGATAAAAAATTAATTTGGTTGCACCAAACTACCTAAGGGAAAGGCTAAGATCTGTAGCTTTTGTTTTTGAATTTGAAATGATCTTGCTTTGTACCCTTGAATTTATAGCAGTCTTGCCAGTCTTGGTATTGCAAGATTGTGCCACCGTGCCTGGCTGACTAGTTGGTTGATTTTGAGACTGACTGCCAATTGTAAATCACCGTGTAGCCTAGGCTGATCTCAAACTCCTGCCTCAGCATTCCAAGTGCTGGATTATAGCCTGCCATACCTATCTTAAGATCTCTAACTTTCACAGTAGTTTGAATTGATTAGAGGCATTCTTCTGAGTTAGGTTCTCTTTGAAGATGTCTACATTAAGAGTTCCTAACTAGTAACCCAAAAAGGGTAAATATCTACTAAGATAGTGGAACAATGCTAAACATATGCAGGCTTTATTTTTATGTATGTTCTTAGGGTTTCGAAATGACTATATGGCTATATGAAGCCTCAGCTTGTTCCATACCCACCACTTGAAGTATGTGTGCATTTTAGGTAAATGTCATAACTTGGGCAAGTCTTTACTTTCTGTACACAACCTGCATGTATATAAATTCATTTGAAACAATTCTTAAAGTGGATGTTGTCTGCTGTACTAGATCATAACTCAGGAGAGTGTTAGTGTCAATAAGATTGTGTACCTGAGGTCTGGAGAGAGAACAGAGTACTTGGTGCTCCACCTTAGGTCGAAAGTTCAGTTTCCAGCACCTACATAGGGTGACTCACAACTGCTTGCAACTCCAACACTTCAGGGAACATTCTAGCTTTTGCAGGCACCATGTGTGCTGCCACCAAGCCTGACGACCTGGGTTGCAACCCCAGGACCCAGAGAGCTACCTGTCCTTTGACCTGCATGCAAGCACCACACACACAATATAATTTAAAGATGATAATTGCAGAGGACAATTTTGTATCCCCTAGAGTACATTTCTGTCCAAGTATAAGTGAGCTTTGTAGCATAAATATAAATATTTTGTTCACAACAGCTGAGTGCTGCTTTCCTTTTGGTTAGGGATACACCCCCCACCACCACCAGCACACACACACACACACACCTGAGACAGGGTTTTTCTGTGTAATTTTGGTGCCTATCCTGGATCTCTGTAGACTAGGCTGTCCTCGAACTCACAGAGATCCTCCTGCCTCTGCCTCCCAAGTGCTCAGCTTTTGCAGGCACCATGTGTGTGTCAGCAGGGATACATTTCTTCACATGAGAAGTTTTTTGCTTTTTGAGGCAGGTTCCTATATAGCCCTGGCTGTCTTAGAATTTGCCGTGTAAACCAGGCTGGTTTTGAGATTAAAGGTGTGGGCCATGACTACATGAGATACTTAACAATAGCAAGATGAAGTAAATTATAGGTTACTTGTAAGCAAATTGATACTCTTGAGTTTTTTTTTGTTTTTGTTTTTTTTTTTCAATTGTCACTACAGAACTTTTAGATTTTAGCTAGGCATATAGCATCTTGTGCCAAAATCCCAGCACTCCAGAGGCTGAGAGGATTACTGAAAGTTTCAGGCCAGTCTGGGCTGTGTGAGACACGTTAGGATTTGGGGCCATGTGCATCTGAAATGGTGAAATATACAAAAGCAGTTTGGGGGTTAATTTGATAGTTTACTCAAAAGTTAATAGGAAATCTCTACATTACCAATGTTCAATCAAGGACAGGAACTGTTCACAAAAGAAATAGTCCATAAACTCACTGTATCTATGTGTTTCCACAATAGGCCAAATACCCATGTCTACATTTCTCAAGCAGCTTGTGTGTATAATCCACAGCAAATTTAAGTTCACTGGCCCATCACTAAAGATAGATTCAAACATACAAATTACATTAACACCTAAATAGTGCTTGAGGCCTTCTGTTGTGTCCCATCTTTCTACTTTTACACAACCCCTAGTGTTTTGTTTTTTGTTTAATTCTATGTCCACACCTATGAGAAAATTACTTCACTAGAGTATATTTCCCAAGGAAGCCCTCCTTTGGAGTTAAGGTATATAGCTAATAAACCTACATAGTGTACTAAATGGTTTCTAACATTAAGCTTTGAGGTTAATGTAAAGTCATTCTGCAGTAAAAACTTGTTAGAAGAGTGGTTACTGTGCCAACATATTAGTCTTTAGCCATTTGAGTTTTATATTATGTAGAGAAAAGCTTAAGACACTTTTAAAAGTGCCATTTTCAGCTATACTACTAGATAGTGTTGAATATCTGGGGTCACATAACCAATTTTATTACTGCCTAGGTTATATCAATGAGAAAAATATCAGATGAAACCTATTTGAAGCAAGTTCAATTTCATTGTGTCACATTGGGCATGGCTTTTAAGAGCTGGGGTGATGTGTATGTTTGAGGCTTTAAAAGAAAGGTTTTTGTGAATTAAAGAGTAGTTAGTGGTTGTTATTTCTTGATAAATTGAGACATGTAACTAGCAGGAAGCCTACATATGACTCTTGTGTAAAACAGAACAGCTATGTAATTCAATAGAGGATTATGCCAGTATAAAATATTAGATGAAAAAATGTAAGATGATGGTTATATTCCTAGAATGCTAGAACCAGGGTTTGAAATGGACAGTAAGGTTACTTTTATTCAGCTCTTTCATTGGGCTCTATCCTCCACTCATATTTTGTTGTTGAGTTTTCTTAAAAGTGGTTTTCTGTGGTATTAAGAATAGTAGGAATCAATTTTTTTCCGTTTTAAGGCCAGAGTTGTTTTTTGTATGTGGTTCTTCTGCACAATTCACTCCATTTTGTTTAACTCCTACAAGGACCATCTCAATGCAGTGAATCAAGGTCTGGTTTAGGCATACCACAAATGCAATGTGTTTTAAACAAAAGCTAGAAACAGTGTGAATTTGCTTGCCTAGAAAACAGGTCCTGTTCAGGCTAGAGCACCCAGTGCTGCATCAGTTTAATTTATGCTTTTAAAGACCTTCGCGGAAGGGATGGTAATATACAGCCATTCCTATTTGGCCTGGAGATAAACTAGCCATGAGCTACAGTTACTAAGAACATCAGGAGCAGGGTGATTAGGCAGAATTCCCAGTATCTAGCAGGAAACAAATGTTCTGGTGTCTAAGTGCTGAGGTAATCTAAACTGCTTTCTGGCCAAACTGGAGTTTTTCTGGCCATCTTCTGGATTTGGGAGGCTATTCTTGAAAAGATCTCTATTAAAGTATATCAGAAGGGATATTCTATAAGACTGATAACCAAAAAAAAAAAATTTACTTACTCAAAATACTACTAACTGAGAGTGTTTGTACAAGTAGTATTTTAAAATCCTTTTACAGGTGCTGCAATAGAAATGTAAGTATTATGTAACTTTAAATTTCATGACAACCACTTCTGA